TGCCTTCCACTCATTGGAATGATGGACTTTCCTCTCAGGATTATTGGCACATGCTGTTATTCCCACTCCACACAGTCTCCTTTTAGGCAGAAACTGCACCTATCTGTCACCTGCAAGGCTGATGTCGAGCTGGTTAGCTATGGGCGACTGCGCTCTCTCTCTGGGCGCAGGGTGCGCTCACTCCCTGCGGGTCCGCAGACTTCTCCAGCGGCTGCTTTGGGTCCTGCGTCTCTGGGAGTGATGGCAGCTGGTGGCTGTCGTAACTTCTCTGGTGCTGGGAGCTTGCTCTGCTTACTGGAGCATTGTCCAGCTGGAATCCTGTCCCAATTATACCCGTGTACCTTTCCTCAGGATTGCGGGGTTCCTGGCCACTGAACCCCACAGGGAAGAGGCACGACTAGTGTGTCCGTGGGTCAGTAACGGAGAGTGCTGCCCTCCGGGGGAATCAGGTCGCCGGTACACAAGACTCAAGGCTCGGCTTAGTCTGTGCTTACAGTTTTATTCTCTCTGGGACCCAATCTCTGGGACCCAGAATCCCAAATCCCAAATCCCCAATGTCCCCATGTCCCAATGTCCCAATGTCCCAATATCAAGAGAAGGCTAGGATATTTTATACCATGGGGGTAGTGGTAAAAGCTTTGGCTGTTAGATGCTTTGTGAGGCATTCTATTTACATGTGGAAGTGGATTTCTGCCAGACAGTTGTCTGCTAGGAAAATTACAGGAAGGCATGGTATCTTTTCAGAGCCAAAGGCCATGTTTATGTCAGGGCATTTGTGGCGGCCACTTCAAAGGGAGAGACAGGAAAGATGCCAGAAAGCACCTTGCTATGAAAAGGAGCCCGCAGCACATTCCCGAACTGCATGAGCTGTCCGGTGTGAAGGGGCTTCGACTTTTGCATAACAGAGGCTCCCAACAGTTAGCATTTGGCAAGCTGTGTTGGTCAACTTGTGTTTCTTTGTTGTTATTAGTATTTTGTGTGTGTGTGTGTGTGTGTGTGTGTGTGTGTGTGTGTATGACTTATGTCTGCGTGTATGTAATGCACTCATGTCATGCAGTACCCTTGGAGGTCAGAAGGGGGCATTGGATTCCCTGGAACTAGAGTCACAGATGGTTGCGAGCCACCATGTGGGTGCTGGGATTCAAACCCAGGTCCTCTGCAAGAGCAGCCTCTTAGTAGCTGAGCCATCTCTCCAGCCCTGGCCAACTTATTTTTGAAGTTAGAAAGTTCATTTTACATTTGCACCTGTTTAGATTTTCTGTGGGGATTATGCCATTGCTGTTCAATTTACAAGTTTGTGATTTGGAATTCTATTTTATCAAACGTTTTCATGACTTGGCTATTTTCCTTTCCATCTTCAACCAACCGAAAAACTTAGTGAACCAATGGCCATGGCACCATTTGGTTACTGCCAATTTGTAGCACCTTTTATGAGGGGAAGTTGGGATCCATCTTCCTCACACCTGACACTTGTAACTTTTTTTTTTTTTTTTGAAACAGGGTCTCTTTGTAGCCTCAATTGGCCTGGAATTCACTATGTAGACCAGGTTGGCCTCAGTCTCACAAAGATCTGCTTGCTTCTGCCTCCCAAGCACTGGGATTAAAGGTGTGTACCACCATGCTGAGCTTTATAACAGAATCTCCTGGAACTGGAGTTACAGACAGCTGTTAGCCACCATGTGGGTGCTGGGATTTGAACCCAGATCCTCTGCAAGAGCAGCCAGTGCTCTTAACCACTGAGCCATCTCTCCAGCCCCCCCCCTTTTTTTTTAATTTGTTGTTGTTACTTCTTAATATTTTAAAGACTTTAGAGGAAGTTGGGGTGGTGGCACATGCCTGTAATCCCATCACTTGGGAGGCTGAAGCAGGAAGATTGCTGTAAGTTCTGAGGTCTGCCTGGGCTACATGGTGCATACAGGGCCAGCTAGGGCTATGGAGCCTGTCTCAAAATGCAATTAAAAAAAAATTTCAGGGAATGTCATTTGTTTGTTTTTCTGAGTATTAATCATAAATAAATGACCTTCAGGTCAGGCTAAAGATGCTACTTTCTCTTTACTTTATGGAGACAGAGTTAATAGATGTTGTGTTCAGTTCAGTTATCTTTGTGCAAGGAGAATAAAGGCCTACGGTGCCGTCAGAGCAGACACTGAGTGCTTCAGACTCTTCTTTCTTCTACTTCTCCTAATGGAGAAACTTTAGGAGGAAGGAGAGTCCTCACACATGGCCGTCAGAGCACAAGCCTCTCCCTCCTCCCCTCCTCCATGTGCAGGTCACTTTAGGCTGATTATCTCATTGTATAACCATAACAGCCCTATAAAGAATGTGTCATAATTCATCGTGTGGTCCCAGGGTACAAGTAGGTCCAGGGGCCACCCAGGGCCAGGGCCAGAGGAATGACCCCAGCTCACTGGCCTGCCATCATTGACATCCTGATGGCTGAGTGGAAGTAGCTTGTGTGTGTGTGTGTGTGTGTGTGTGTGTCTGTCTGTCTGTCTGTCTGTCTGTCTGTCTGTAAGCAGAGGGACTCGACAGAGGACACAAAGGAGTGCAGGGACCCATGAAGATGCCTGGTGGGATTGTGTTTCTAGTTTTTAAAGTGCTCTTTTAAGAATAAACGCAGTTACATGTTTGTCTTTAGCTTATATTGAGATAAGCCTAAACTGAAGTTTACTAACTCGAGGTGCCAGGTCTGGGCAGGGGCTGCACCTAGGTTAAGAAAGGGGTAGTGTGACACAGAGACAGTCTTGGGAGACAAGAAACTAAGATCATTAATTAGCTAACTCAGATTTTTGTTTTGTTTCTTTGAGACAGGATCTCATGTAGCCCAAGCTACTGTCAAATTATGTATCTATCTTAAGATGACACGTCTGGAAGATATTTGACGAACCTGATATAGATCAAATATTGTTGTTTAGAGAACATAAATCCCACAGGAAATGAAACACAGTCCCAGCCTCATACCTTTCAGCCTTGAAGGACTACAGTTTTCCTGTTACACAAGGAACATGTGATTTCTGGCGATGATCAAAGGTCCAAGGACAGTAGAGACTGAGAGGCCAGGCACCCGTGGTTGGGGAACGCTGTTTCTCCTGCAGTCGTCAGTAAGGTCTTGTCTGGTGATTAGTGGGCATGAGGGTGCAGTGAGGCACAAGCAACATCACAGCAGGATAACTATACTTGATGACAAGTAGATGAGTATTTTCCCAATAATCAGAGAACACTTTGAATGTTTACAACTTACTGAAGTTGACTTCAGTAAGTAAGGTGCTTGCCATACAAGCCTGGGGACCTGATCTCCAGAACACATGGAAACAGGCCAGATGTAGTGCACGCCTGCAGTTCTAGTGGTAGAGGAAGAGTTGGAAGGATCCCTGGGGCTCGTGGGCCAGTCAGCCTTGTCTACAATGTATGAGGAATAACACCGATGACTGACGTCTGATCTCAGTATGCACATGTACCAGGTCCACATATATGTTCATCCACACCCATACATATGTGAATTCACCCAGACATAAATGCACACACACATGTACAAAAGAAATAATAAAGTTTGGGGGCTGGAGAGATGGCTCAGTGGTTAATAGCACTGGCTGCTCTTGCAGAGGACCTGGGTTCAATTCCCAGCACACACATGGCAGCTAACAGCCATCCACAACTCCAGTTCCAGAGGATCTGAGCCCTGTTCTGATCTCCATGGGCAATGCACAACACAGGTGCACTTACATACATGCAGATAATACACTTAAAATAAAAATAATAGATATAATTTTTAAAAGAAATAAAATTTTGAGGTGATATGCAAACTACCCTGATCATTTCATATTATGAAGTATCTGTATCCTACAATACAAATAATATATATACATATGTGCATGTACGTATGTGTGTATATCAACTATGTACATGGGTGTGCATGTTCATGCTGTACCCCAGAGAGAGCAGGAAGAAAAGAAAAAGACTTTAGAGAAGGTAAATTTTGAATGCTCAACACTTTCCTTGCTGTGGCGCTAAGCTGAGTTAGCGAGCCCAGGTTTGACAGACAAGTCTTCTTTGACCATTGTTCAAACAAATTCCAAATCAAATCATTTTTCATTTTATGGCGAAGTTTCAATAAGTATTTGTCTCAAAGCGAGTGTAAATACTATTTATTTAGAAAGTGGAGATACAATATTATGTGTTTTGGAGAACTTTGGGAAGGTGGGTGACACTGGGGATGGGCACAGGCCCATCAGTGAACACGGTTGCCTGTGCTAATGGGAGGCAGCTCTGCTTGGGAGGTGTGTGGTTACATTTTTACTGTTGTGGCCAAATACCTGACAGGAAGGGACTCAAGGGAGAAAAGGTTCACTTTGCTCAAGGTTTGGGTGTACAGCCCGTTGTGGTGGAGGAGCGTCTAAAAGCCAAAACCCAAACCATTCTAGCGTAGCGTCTAGGGGCCTCGCAACCGATTCTGATGAATCTGAGACAGTACCTTTCTAGGCCAAGTTACCAGCTCTTTGTGAGTTCCATGCCTTCCCACACTTCCTGTCTTTCCACATGCCAGCTTGTCACTTTTGTTTGCTGTATTCTGTCTTTGCTTCTAACATCCCGTCTTTCAAGTCTAGCTGGCTTGACCTGGAACTACTTTCCAGTTACGAAAGCGAAGATTTTCTCACTTTTGTCAGCAGGTTGGAGTTCCTTCCTGCGCCCTCTCTGGGCACCTTGACCTTCTCTGGTTTAATCACTCGTGTGTGTGTGTGTGTGTGTGTGTGTGTGTGTGTGTGTGTGTACCTGACTGTCAATACCTGGGATCCCCCAAGTTTCCGAATCAAAGCAGGAGTAAGGAGATGAGCAGATGTTCATTTGAAGCTGTTTTTTTTGGAAGAGATCATTGGCTCATGACTTTGCCTTTTGTTCACTTGATTTTGACTCCCTGGACTCGGACGACGTGTTCCTACTTCAGTAACACTTTAAAACTACTATTTTCTCACTCACCCAGACTGACTTCCCTTTGGTTCTAGTTGTCGAAATGGATGGAGACAATGGGCTTTTACTTCTAGAACTGAACCCACCTAACCCCTGGGATTCTGATCCCAGGTCCCCTGAAGAGTTGGCTTTTGGAGAAGTACAGGTAAGAAAGCATTAAAATTATATCAAGAGCAAAATAAAAGTAAGATGTTACTCATACATATTTACAACTATATTCATGTATAGAGAAAATTATATGCATACAAACACACATATAGAAAGATAATACAAAGTTTTAGGATGTTCCAGGGGCGAGTCATGTAAAACTATTAGAGGAAGTTCAGAAAGGACCCTTAGTACCGGATCATTGTCAGATAAGATGGTATGTTAGTCAGTGCTTTGGTGCTGTAACCAAATGCCTAAGGCTGAGAACTTTATGAAGAAAAACAATTGATTTAACTCACAGTTGAGCTTTAAGTACAGGGTGTGTGCATCTGCCCAGCTCTGATGAGGGCTTCATTGTGGATGAAATCACAAGGAAGTGTGCAAGGGGGTGGGAGAGAAACACATACCGAAGAGGGCGGGGAAAGTCTTACGAAAATCCATTGTGGAGGGACTAGACTGATCCTGCAAGACCCACACTGATCTCTTCTGAGGGCACTGTCCCCAGTGACCCCACTCCTTCCACTAGTCCCAGCACACTGGGCACCAGGCTTTGAGCACATCAGCAGCAGCAGCACACTGGGCACCATGCTTTGAGCACATGAACCATTGGGGGACAAACCACATCCCAACCGCAGCACATCACAAGTTGTGTATTTCTGCATCTCCTGCTAAGATTTTTGCAAATCTTTTATGTATTTCCTAGCTTCAGAACAGGGTTTCCTCTAAAGGAAACATTTCACTATTTTGGGAAGACGAACAATCAAAAATTGCTTGTCTGTGTATTTGGGAGCTGAACACCTCTGGGCAGTTGCTGTTTCTAGGAAACAAATGAAACTCCACCCAGAACAGAAATAATGAAAACAAATTTGATCCCTGGCTTCTCCTCCTCTGTTTGCTGGCGAATCTTATCTCTGTTCCTCTGCACATTCTCCATCTGTGGATGTGCCAGGCCGAGGGAGGCAAGGGGTGAGGAACAGGTTTGGAATTCCTCCGCCGGTGCCTGTCTGTCAGTCACTGTTCACACCCATTCTCGGAGGCCCTGGACATCCCGCATGGGAGAGTGAGCAAGATATTTAAAATAGAGAGCCACAGAGCCCGGGTTAGCCTGATGTCAGCCTGGGCTGTCCCGCTGTGCTAACCCACCAAGGCAGTCAAGAATCAGTCAGTCAGCCCCTCTTGGCCATGCCAGCATGCCCCCTCATGCTCGTCCTAACCTCTCTAACTGCTTTGCCTTGGAAAGCACGCTTTGGAAGGGTTGTCAAACACACTCTGCCCTGAAGACCGAAAATAACCATCTAGGAGCTAATTTAAATGGAGTAAAACTTGAGTAAATCAATTGGTTTGACACCAGAATCCGGTCCTAAGAATCTCTGTGCTGACAAGGTCATGGTCGTGCAGGGTACTGTGTTCGAGTCAGCACACCTGTGCAGTTGCCTGATCTTGTTCTCCCCCGACTTGTCAGTGAACCTTGCACTTCACTGCAAACAGTAATGACTGGGTAACAGGAATCTCACTCTCTTCTAACAGATAACATATCTCACTCACGCCTGCATGGACCTCAAGTTGGGAGACAAGAGGATGGTGTTTGACCCTTGGTTAATCGGTCCTGCCTTTGCCCGAGGATGGTGGTTGCTACACGAACCCCCACCTGACTGGCTGGAGAGGCTGTGCAAAGCAGACCTAATCTACATCAGTCACATGCACTCAGACCACCTGAGGTAACAACCCGGGGCACCCAGCTCCCAAGACAATGCTGGCCACACTAAAGACATCTGTGGGGTCTTTTGGGTTGTCTCTTGTAGCCCAGGCTGGCCTCAAACTATGCAGGTGAGGATGACCTTGAACTCTTGGTTCTATGCCTCCACCCCAAATACTGAGATAACGGGCGTATACCACTATGCCCGACTTATAAAGATTTTTGGATTCTTCTGCAGTCACTGGCCACTTTTGAAGTGTGTTCAGTTCGGATGATGGAAAACAGCATGAATCAAGGTCCATCACTGTATTTGCAGAACAGCTCCAGACTTTAGAAATGCTTCCATAGTCTACATCAATGGGAGCCTTTGTGGAAGGCGTGGTGGCCAAAAACCCTAGCAGGGACTTGCAGTCAGGCTACTTGAGAACAGGAATCGGGGTCTCCAGAACAGCTCTTCTTGTAGTTCAAAATTTATAGCACAAATTAGCACATATTTTCTCTAAAGAACCAGAAGCTGAGGCAGGAGGATCTTGAGTTCATGTCAGCATGGGCTACATAGCAGGACTGTCTCAAAAAAAGGGCCAAATATGCTGAGGGACAAGTTGGATACTTCTGCCTTTGTGAGCCCTAGAACCAACCTTATACCTCATTCAACTTTGCCAGATACAGCATTAAATGAAAGTGAGGCCTATTATCCTCATTATCCTCATATAGCTTTTATTGGATAGAATGCACTGGGTCTAATTCCCAGGTATCATAAAACATTATTGTCCTTATAAGGCTGTAGAGAAGCAGGAAAGGCTCAGGTCTAGCTCACGCACTGGTTTGCCAAACCCTGGGCTTTGTTGTTTGTTGAGACAGGGTCTTGCTATGTACCCCAGGTGGTCTGGAACCCACACTCTTCCTGCCTCAGCCTCCCACACACTCGGATCACTATGTCCACACCAAGTCCTGCTTCCTAACACCTCATGCTGTTCTCAATTTACTAATCAACTCAGTCAATACTAGAGCAATGTGACGCTGGTCATCTAAAGGACAGTTCCCTGATCCCGACAACCAAAGAGGAGGAGGAAAGCAGAGCTTTCACTGCGGAAACCACACTTTCTTCTTAATCACACTTACCTTTGAACTGAGTTAATATTGGAGGCTCATAATCCCATTCCCCGAGCTGAGTTACAGGTCGTGTTTCTAAGTGGTTTGGAAGTTTTTAATCCCTTTTCCAGGTCACCACACAGCAACACCCACAGTGCTGTAAGGCACTTGAACTCTTTTCTCTGTGATGCTGCATGAAAATGTTTGCATGGTGGACATTCTAAGACAGTCATATCCCAGGATGTTAAGGATGACATGTTGCTGGTTGGTTGGCCCAGTCCTTGACTTTTGCTGTATTGTTGTTTAAAGGAAGCAATTTAAAGTTTTAATTAACTGAAGTAGTAAAGAATTACTTGGAACACACTTCTTAACTAGCTCTATTAACTTATGGGACTGTGGATTGCAAACAAGTCTTCCTGTCTGTTGTAAAACCTCTATCTCTGAGAAGTTCCTGGAACTAAACTTGTAAACTTGTATTTGAGGCTTCTGGGAACCCTGCATATAATGGGTGGTGGTCATTTAGTACAGCTTATTATGTGGTAGTCATCATGTGAATGAGCCGACTAGGCCATTTCATGTCATTTACTCGAGTTATTCTCTAACCACTGGTCTGAAAGCCCAGTTTAGACTCAGTACCAGGGGTTTTGAAGGCGTTGTTGTGCACTAATACCCCAGAGTTCAAGGACAGGATCCTGAGACATTTGATGTGTGTTTACTCACTGAAAAGCTGTTAAACTGTAAACGTCATTCCTTTATCTCTATCTCCTTGATAAACTCTTTCCTAGTCAGCTAATAACCACTGAGGTAATTTGCCCCAATCCTTCTACCTGACTTCTACTTATCAAGTAATATTTTCCTAAATTATAAGAAGCGGGGGGGGGGGGGTGGCGGGATGGCTCAGTGCTTAAGAGCACTGGCTGCTCTTGCAGAGGACCCACATGGCAGCTAACAAACCGTATGTAACTCCAGTTCCAAGGAAGTTCAGTGCCCTCACTTATATACATGCGGGTGATACACTCATACACATAAAATCAAAATAAGTTTAAAAAATGGGGGCGAAATCTATGTGATTTACTGAATAGTGTGTGTCCAAGGAAATGTGATTGCATAATGTAAATATAGTATTAAGAGGGAGATATTAGCCAATACTGCTGAGAATTATCAGCAGTTAGAAAACCACAGTGTAGCTAATACCCCTTTTTGAGTAATTTATGCTAATTATCTTTATGACAGAAGATTTGGTCACTGAACTGGGAGACTAGAGGCGCCTTTAAAAAACACTGAAATTTTTAAAATTTGTTTTGGAGAGAGAAGACCCCCTGCCTTGCCCCTACACACATTGGGCTCTATTTAGTTAAGCAGGCTCCCCTCCACCCCAGGTCCTGCGTGTTTGCCCCCCGCCCCAACACACACACACACACACACACACACACACACACACTGGGTTCTGCTTTTGGATGGCTCCTATCAGGGTTGGGGTAGAAATATCAGTAGAGTTAGTCGATTCTGGCATGAAGGGTTTATTCCTAGTTCTCTTCTGACTCCATGTTTCTCTCTGGTGACATTCTATTCTGTGCGCGTGTCTGACTCTCTTTTTCCATCCACACTCAGACTACAGGCATGCATTACCAAGCCTGGGTGCTAGTCTGACTCCTAAACAAGGGAATAAATTTGTTAAAGTTGGAAACTAATGGAAACAGCAGTAGGTTTGGAGTCAGAAAGCCCAAATTTGGGTAGCGATTTCCTATTTTCTCATCTATGAAAACAGAATCCTCTGAGTGTTTTAATAAGAATCGATGAAGAGCTGGGCGGGGTGACTCATGCCTGTAATCCCAGCACTCAAGAGGTAGAGGTGGGAGGATGGTTGTGAGTTCCTGACCGACCTGGGCTACAGGATACTAACCTGCTTATTCACTACTGAGCTTTCTAGCATATCCCAAGCACTATAAAAAAAAAATCCCCTCATATCATGAGTGCTCAATAAAGAAATGAAAGTCAGCTTTATATAAGTTCCAGAAAACATCTGGATGACTGACTATACACTCAGTCGAAATGATAGAAGTTGAATGCTTTTCCCTTTCCACCAAACATCACTGTCTGGTCCTGCTGGTAACTTGGGTCCTCTGTAAGGACAACGGATGTCAGTGTGGCTTTGGAAAACATGGTGACCCACAGGCTCCTCTTGTCCTATAGCTCCCTGTCCCTGGGTCCTCACTCTTACTTGGAGTTGCTACTTGGAAAGATTGTGTTGATGATGGGTTCCTCATACAACTACCTCTGTGACTCTCTCTCTGTGACTCAAAACAGCATTGGTGTGGAGCATAGAACTTTCACACCTGGCTGAGGTACACTCTGGTTTGTGGTGCGTTCCAGCAATAAGAGGTGTCTCCTGGGGCTCTGTAGTCTCCAGGGGTAGGAATTCTTCTCTAGACCTGGTGAAAGCCTGGTTTTCAACTCTGTCCTTTACAGTTGGCTTAGGACTGAACTGTCTCTTGCTTGACCAGTTTCTTTTTCCCCTTTCCCTCGTCTAGTTACCCTACTCTCAAGAAGCTTTCAGAGAGGAGAACAGACATCCCCATTTATGTCGGCGACACAGAGAGACCTGTGTTCTGGAACCTGGATCAGAGTGGTGTCCAGTTAACTAACATCAATGTGGTGCCATTTGGGGTGTGGCAACAGGTTAGAGAATTTGCCGTTATTGACGTTCAAATAATGAACCTGAAGATCAGAGGGGAATTGTCATGCTGCCTGCACAGGATACTTAGTAAACACTACCTTTATTTAAGTAGCAGTGTTGGACATAACTGCCCTTGCTAAAAGATGGTTGTCTTTCTATTTAGCTGTAGTGTAACCTTACAAAAAGGTTAATAAATTCAATTCTAAGTAAAGGATTTTTTCTTTTTTTCAAATTTCAGTTCTGATTGGCCAGTCTTTCTAGAAATGAAAACCTTCTCAAATATTGAATTAAAGCCAAACTGACCCTCAAAGCTGTTGGTTTTATCATTGGATTGCAGGTCGACAAGAACCTTCGATTCATGATCCTGATGGATGGCGTTCACCCGGAAATGGACACGTGCATCATCGTGGAGTACAAAGGTGCCTTCCTGTCCTCATCAGCTCTGGGAAATGCAGGGTACCAGGATAGGAGGGGTGATGAGAGCCGGCGGGAACCCTATGTTCATCCTCTTCATCCCCTTCTGTCGCAATTTCTGGAGAACACAGGGTCTTATGCCCTTAGGAAAATGAGCAAACTTTTAGATACTTTTTCAGACAACAAATTACCAGCAATTTGTCTATAATGACAGGCAAGCTTTCGGCATAAGGGAACCACTATTTTACCTAGAGCACTTTCCTCCATAGTATCTTCATATTTATTATCGAGTAAATGTCATGAATACCTTTCCTCTGGTTGCTGGGTGTGGTGGTATACATCTATAATCCCAGCACTCAGGAGGTAGAGGCAAGGGGATCAAGAGTTTAAGGTTATCATCTGATATGTAGTAAAGTCAAGGCTAGCCTGGGCTCTGTAAGGCCTTGTCTCAAAATCAAAACAAAATGAAACAAACAAACAAAAAACCCATCACCAGGCATGAGGCCTGGCCTACTGCTCCAGTAGCCATTTCAATATAAACTGGGCATAGAATTTGCCAAAGACACTGGGATCTGTGCTGACTTGACCTTTGAGTTCAACATCTGGAGTTGGTTGGGGGCAAACACTGTATCTGTGACCCACAGTGAAATCAGACTAGTGATCTTCGTAAGATACCAGAATCCATCCAATCAGAAGGGACAGACTTATTCACTTGAAAATTCAGAATATGCTGTCAGATACCTCAAGTTTAGAAATGTCTTCTCTTTGTTTTTCCCTGGACATAACCAATCCTATAATCAAATAAATCAGACTATGTGGACTGCACTGGAAAACCTTGTGGGCTTGGGCATCATTAAACCCGAGCCCCCATGTTTCTCCACAGGTCATAAGATAATGAACACAGTGGACTGCACCAGACCCAACGGGGGGAGGCTGCCTGAGAAAGCTGCTCTAATGATGAGTGATTTTGCTGGAGGAGCGTCAGGCTTTCCAATGACTTTCAGTGGTGGAAAATTTACCGGTAATAATTTATATCCAAGTGGTACAGTTGATGGATGCTGTGAGAATAAATAAAGATAATTGACACATGGCTCCTGCTCACAAGAAGAGTGCAGTCTTCTAGGGGAACCTGATGTGTCAACCACTGATGTTGCAAACCAAGGTTTCCAGCTCGGAATGTGATGGTGGGATGTGAAGGAAGCAGGGGAGGCGGGAGCATCTGGGTAAGGGGAAAACACCGGGAAAAGCTGAGCAGAGTCCTGGCACTCTCTGTGGAACATGGGGCAGGACAGGGACAGGATGGAATGGGTAATCCTCGCCTCAGTGCTGTTGGGCCCAGAATGCAGTGTGGGGGACTCAGCATGGACACCTCTGTTGGTCCTGTGGAGTGCTCACAGGGGGTGGCGCAGAGGGAGGAGGGCCTCCCACCCAGGAGCCTTCTGCCCTGGATCCAAGGGTGCAGCTTGGGTTGGTGTGAGGGGAGTATGTGCGTGAGACAGTTCATTCACTGTGGTTTCCTCCACATCAGAACTGCAGGGACTTAGCAGCCACAATTTGTGAACGATGGTGTCTGTAAGTGATCCTTATCCAATGAGGTGGCCCGATGCCCAGCTCGAAGGGTAAAGGCAGCCCCACCTAGATCCTCACTTCTCATCGCCTTCCAGGGCATGTGGCCATACGAGAAAGAGGGAGGTTCTGTCCAAGAGTTAACATGGTGCCTGGGGAGGCAAGATGGAGTTATTGAAGGTGGCTAGCCTGATCCCGTTCTTGTGTGTGTGTGTAAATGGAATGCATACACACACATTTAAAATGTCTAAAGTACCAAACAAGTTAATAATAGTGTGTGGGGAATATGGGTCATTTTAATTTACTTTTTGTCCTTACCTGGGTTAGATTTTCATAGCAATAGCACCATCTCCCTCAGCCTGTGTGCTGCGGCCTGCCTGCCTCCATTTCCAGTCAGCCCTTGCCCTGCCTCAGGCCAGCTCCGCTCCTGCTCCACCCCCAATCCAGGCAACTCCACACAGCAGCTTTCCTGTCTGAACTCAACCACTATCTGTTCCCAGACAGCCCTATCTAAGGACGGAGCTCCAGGCCACCCCACCCCTCTCCAGCCCAGACACGCCCTGCCCTGCCGTTTAAGGACTCTGCCCCATGCTATTTACTGATTTATTACTGACTCCTCTCACTGGGGAGGATGCTCCATGAGAACACGTCCCATTTCTTGTCCCTAAGATTCACCACCTGTTCAATACATTTCAGTGCCCTTTGGCCCATAGAAAGTACGTTAATAAAGACTGGGAGGGAGAGAAAGAAAACTCGGTGGGGACCTGTCATGATTCCATTGCAGAGGAGGAAGCGAATGGAAGAGAGGCCATCTGCCCAGTTCTGGACAGCCAGTGAGTGCTGGGGCAGGACTTCATTCCCACGTGTGATTAACAACACAGCTGAGTTCTCAGTGAGCTGTCAGTTTATAAGAAATGGATTTCACTTTTGCAGTGCACTAATCATGGATGTGCTAATAAAAGGTTAATATTTGTAGATGTTACATGGTGCTTAGAATGTGCTTGCCTACAAAGCGAGCCTGTGCCTGCTGATCCCTGCTCAGCCAGTCTCCAGAAACATACCAAGCAAGGAGTGATCACGTAGCCTTCAAATTTGCCAAGTCAAGCTGAGGAGATGTCTCTGAATGACAGAGATCAGCTCTCTCTCTCTCTGCCTTTGTTCTCTGAGTTCTTATTTTCCTCCTGAGCAAGTTCCAGTCTATCAGAACAAGACTCTTAAACTTTCTCCACTTGTGAGCTCTTTGCACTAGAGAAATTCATATGTAACCCTGGGTGTAAAGTATATAAAATCAGGACACAAACATCTGCAGATGCTAAATCATAAATAGGTTGATTTTAAAATGGCTCTTTATTACACATACAGTTTTATCACTTATTAAAAACAAAATCACTTTTGTGTGCTATGAGATGGATGTGCTTGTTTGTTTTACTTAAAGAATCAAATCTGGGCTGAATATTTGATACCATAGGCTGTGGGGCATCTTTGACAGTGTTCAAAGTTGATTAATATTTTGATATTATGATCATCAATACAGAGAATGTTGCTTCACATATTTATGTAATACAGCCTGACAGAATTATGTTTGGGGTCATTTCAGGAGTGCTTGGAAATTCTGTCCTAATCCCAAGTCAAAATTCATTAACTATTTTTTTTATGAAACTCAAGTCAGTCATTCAAAGACTATTTTTTTTAAAATCAAGCATTGTAGCACAATATAGCCCAAAGCTATACTAATTTGATACATGCTGAGAGACTATGGAAGGAAAGTATGAAAAGTCTTGGCTGTCCATAATTAACCATTATGTCTCTGTCAGAGTGGAAAACTTCTACAGTAACAGCCCGTGATTCGCAGCACACGGCAGTCTCAAATCTGAGCCAGGGTGTTTCAGGCAGTCAGCTGGCATTGTGTGGTGTGATGTCGTGCACGGTGTGAAGTCCATGCTGTATGTTTGGAGCCCAGGCTTCGGTGAAGTCACACGGTGCAGCACAGGCAAGCACTGCCATTCTGTGTTTTATTTTGAAGTAGTGTTTGTTGGATATTCAGAAAACTGCTCCCAGGTTTCTTTTCTGTGCTCTCCACACTGAGTTATGCAGCCCTCCATGGAACCACGGCCCAGTTCACGGAGCTGAGAGCTAGACCATTTGCCTTCAGTGATTTCTCGACGGAGGACACTAACCCAACTCTGTCCTTTCAGAGGAATGGAAAGCCCAGTTCATTAAGTCGGAGAGGAGAAAACTTCTGAACTACAAAGCTCAGCTGGTGAAGGACCTGCAGCCCCGGATCTACTGCCCTTTTGCTGGCTACTTTGTGGAATCCCACCCGTCTGACAAGTACGGCTCCACGTTTTATACACTTTCTTCACATATAAGTTAATCTAAGTTAGAACGAGTGACTTTGCGGTGAGCCTAACGGGAGGTGAGAAAGAAACGGGTAAGAGTTCAAAACATTTCTGTGTCTGTGCGTGTGTGTACCTGTGTGTGTGTGCAGATCTACATGTATGTGTGTGTATGTGGAAGCCAGGGAACAGCCTTGGGTGTCCGTTCCTCGGGTGCTGTCCATCTTTTTGTGAGACAAGTTCTCTCTGGCCTGGAGTTTTCAAAGTAAGTTAGGCTGGCTGGCTAGAGCTGGCTGGCTCTGTCTGTCTCCCCAGCACTGTGATTACAAGTGTACATCACTGTACCTTGTTTCTTTAAACATAGGTTCTGAGGATCAAACTCAGGCCCTCATGTTTGCAAGACAAGGACTTTACTGATTTAGTTATCTCTCCAGCCCAAGATTCCAGAACTTTTTAATCAATTGCCAACAAAGAACATGAATCAAGACCACCAGAGTTAGTGCAGATAGACATTGTCTGAAAGACCGAGATCCCACCTGCAGGAGGAGGGCACATGCCAGGAAGTGAACTAGGACTTTTAACTGCATCATCTAAACAATATCCCCTGTGGCTCTGTAGGAAGGTGGCACACTTTTTCTGGAGAAAGGGAGGGTGTGAAACTCAGAGGTGAAGCCAGCCTGTGCAAGGAAGCTGGGCAGCGAATGTTCCGACTTCCTCCACACCACACTGCACCTCAGTGTAGAGAGTGAAACTGACCATCTTGGCTCCCTGTCAGGGCTTATTGATCAGGCCACAGGAGATGCAGACCATCCACTCTGCCTCAAGTTTCCCAAGACAAAACACCATCATTGGTGTCACAACACATATGAGAAAGCTCGGTGTGAAGCTCTAGTGAAAAAGACTGTGTATTATATTACTAACCTGTTAGGACTATCAAAAAAAAAAAAAAATCCCAATGTCACCATCTCGACAGCACTCAGAACAACAGAAATTGTTTTCTCACAGATCTAGAAGCCAAGAGTTCAGGTTGAGTGGCTCAGAAGGATCTGTTCGGAATTTTTCTTCCCGCCTCTGTTTGCTTAGACACTCCCCACCTGGTGCTGTTGGTACCCTCTTCATACACACACTGTGTGTTCTTCCATGCCCCTGTTTTATAGCAAAGTGAGTCATAATGGATTAACACCCCTTTATGACCTTATTTTACTCTGATTACCTCTACAGAGATATTCTCTCCAAAGACCATATTCTGTGGTACTAGAGTTTAGGACTCTGACATCTTTTTTAAGGGGAACATAATTCAACCTGTATCAAGTATTTATGTTAAAATCAAAACTTTTCATGACGTCAATCAATGACATTTGTTTGTGGAGGGGGTTCATATGTGCTGCAGCACCACGAATGGTGGTCAGAGGACAACTTATAAGAGCTGATTCTCTCTTTCCACCCTTTGGATTCTGGGGGATTGAATTTGGGTCGTCGGGATTGGCAGGTGCCGTTATGGTCCAAGCCATCTTTCTGGTCCAAGATTGAGGGTTTTTTTGTTTTTTTTTTTTTTCCTCTTTTTGAGACAGGGTCTCTCTGTAGCCCCAGCTGTCCTGGAGTCACTATGTAGACCAGGCTGGCCTTGAACTCACAGAGATCTGCCTGCCTCTGCCTCCTGAGTGTTGGGATTAAGGTTGATTTTAACTCAACAGTATTGCAACTTAAAATTGAGGCATGCTCCATTAGCATCGATGATTTAGTTACTTAGTTATACATACAACGCTGCTTTGAAGTCAGCATTCTGGTAACTTATTCTAAGATTGATGTGGCTTTGAAAGCCATGTGCTTCTGCTTCAAAATCAAATCAATCTTTCTGAATAAATGAACCAGCTTTGCTGATACTTATTTGGATATTACACAAAGATAAATTGTCGGTACTTGATTATGTTATTAGAAAACTTTTAAGTGTGTCTCAACTTGAGCATATGAATTTAATTTTGAACCACAAGTTTTAGGAAACCTAGATACAGATCAAGTATTTCTGATGAATTTAGTATCTGGATTGATGCATTCTAAAGCAGGGAAAATCTGTGAACTGTGAAAAAGAAAATGTACAAGTCCACTAGTATTTTAAATTTTAAAAACTGACAGAGTGGCCGGGAAGATGGAACAGTTGATGGTGCACTTGCCAGGCGAGTGTGTGGGGAGCGTGGGGGGCCGGGGGAGCGTGGGGGCCAGGGAGCGTGGGGCGCTGGGGCAGGCGAGCGTGGGGGGGCAGGCGAGGGGGGACCCTAAATTAGGTCCCCAGTACCCACACGACAAGCCAGATGTGGCAGCACACCCGTAATTCCAGCCCTTGAGGAGCAGAGACAAGAGGATCCCTGAGGCTTGATGTCCAGCCAGTGTTGCCCAGTCCAGGAGCTCCAGGCGCAGTGAGAGACCTTGTCTCAAAAGACAAGAAGAGTTGAGAAAGACACCCAGGGCTGACCCCTGGCTCCCGTACACACACTCTATAGACACGGAAAAAACCTGATTTTAGCAGACTTGTGTTCTCACCTTAGAACATAATTTACCTTTTCCTCGTACTTTAGTGCCTTCGTTTCGTCCTTCTGAACTCTGACATCATAGTTTCATGGTCCAGTAATTCACTAGCGCTCCTACAGCAGAATATGGGATAGCCCAGTGAGCTATGGGCCAGGCAGAGTGACCTCAGGCAGAGAGCTTCTGTCAGCCGTCACTCTTCACTGTTGTAACAGACGGTTATGGCAGACACACACCGGTAAGTACATGTACCATGGCTAAGTCTTCGAGCAGCTCTCTAGGGAAGGATTGCTACTTACAGTCTATATCCCTGACCGTGGACCTTGTTCATGGATTATAGACCTTTTGTTTTCGAGTATCCTTAATTGTATTCTGTGTAACCAAGATCTAGACAGGGTTTTGCTGTGTAGCCCATAGGTGGCCTACAACTCACTGTGGACATCAGGCTAGCCTCAAACTTGTGGCAATCCTCCTGCCTCTGCTTCCTTTAGTGCTGGGATTCCAAACATGCGCCACCAAACCATACCTGGCATATCTGTCATGTTTTAAACTTTAAACAATTCAGATATACCCTTTCCCTGGGTAAATTCCTCCTTTGATGTTGAGCCCTTACATCTTTTGAAATTGCTGAATAAACTCAGATTGCATTCAGGGACTGTGTTCTTATAGAAGCCTCATACCATGGCTTAAAAAAAAGCCAAAAGTAATTTCCCCCTAAGGAACAGTCATCTTGACAGAATTAAATTTAAGAGCCTTGGGTACAGCAGATGCCATCTGTCAACTTCTAATCGAGCACAGGTAACCTTGAGGGATTAAAACTGGAGCAGCGAGGACGGGGGCAATAGAGGTAGACAGTAGGTGATGGACTTTGGGGACCAGGAAGGGTTGTGTCAGGTGACAGTGGCAGAGGATACAGGGGTTGAGCGAGTCTGCGGTCCTGAGAAACTTTTCTAGGTCTCCCTAGTTTCCTAAGGACATTAGGCTCCAGACTTGGCCACCTACACCTGTAATGCGAGTACTTAGAAAGCTGAGGTAGGAGGATCACCAGTTCCAGGTCAGTCTGAGCTATGCACGAGACCCTGTCTCAAAACAGCAGTAATAAAAGAGAAGGAAAAGGAGGTGGGAGTCATTCAGCAGCTCCCCATACTCTACCTCTGTGTGGAACTACAGGGCAATAAGCCAGAAAACAATGTGATCCTCAGTACCTGGGGGAGAAACACCAGATAGAACACAGCAGCCTCCTGGGGCAGAGGTGGGATCCAGTCACTTCCCCATCAGTGCAGACTGAGCACTGGGCTGACAGGATATGCTGCTGGTCTCTGTTTCCCAAACTCTAATCCTCCAACTGGATTCTGAGGAGCTCTGGGAGGTCCAGGGAAGAGTCAGGTGCTAGGGTGGCAAAGTGGGTCGTCAACCTCGGGGTACAGAATGCTGTCAATATTTTAACAGCTGGCACATCTAGCCAGCTACATATTAATCCCATCCCTAAGGCAATGGAAAAACAGGTGGAGAAAAAGGAAGAGTGTTCATAGCCGCCATGCCACAGAAGGTCTGAGGTACACGGTCTTTTCCAGTCGGACTTTGTTTGGTTTTGTTTTTCTGTGGCAAACCAGAAACACATACACTGGGCTTTTTGCCGCATGTGTGTGTGTGTGTGTGTGTGTGTGTGTGTGTGTGTGTGTGTGTGAGAGAGAGAGAGAGAGAGAGAGAGAGAGAGAGAGAGAGTATAAGTCTACAGTGTGGCATCAATGGGAGAGCCTGGAGTTCAGATTTTAGGTTGTTAAAGGTTTGGGCATATGCTCTAGTACTTTCTGACAGTGGAATCCACGGCTGATACCAATCTGAACCCCAAATATCTGTAAATTGAACATAAAATGGATGACTTTAAATGGGGTATTTGTTGTTTTGTTTGAGACAGGATCGTCTTATGTAGCCCAGGCTAGCCTCAAACTCTCCAGTGTTGGGATTACAGACTGGCACCACATGCCCAGCTTAAAAAGTTATTTTAAGAGGTCTGACTAATAAGTATAAGGTAGGTCACATAAAGTTGGGAATGCAGGGCATGGTGGTACAGAGCTTCAGAAGCAGAAGGCGCTCAGTGAGTTTGAGGCCAGCCTGGTCTGCACGGGGAGTTCCAAGTCAGCCTGGTCTGCACGGGGAGTTCCAGGCCAGCCTGGTCTGCACAGGGGTTCCAGGTCAGCCAGTGCAGTACAGTGAGACCATGTCTCAAACGAACAACCCAAATATAATGATGGAACTATGGAAAGTTCCCAGGATATTTTTTCCTCTCTTCTCTCTTTCCTCTCTTGACTCTTCACCTAGAAGTTCAGGGGAAAATATTTGAAAGCAAATTTTCTGAAAAATAAGTCTAAGATTAATGAAATGGCTTTGACTCTTTCAGCTCTTCCTGGGATTGTAGACAAATAGTCTGATGCTTTGTATAGAGACAGTTAAGTAAAGTGGAACGTACTA